GGTCGATTTCTCTAATAATGAGAGTACAGTGGAGACACTGAAGGCCCCTGACCAACTTAAAGAGTCTGCCAGCATTAAGGATAAGCAGATGATGAATGCCTTTATTCATTTCTGTGAGTCAGAGGAATGGAAAACTATCTTGAAGGCTCATAAGCCCAACTGGAAAGCCCTACCCTGGCGCCAGTTGTGTGAGAATATACTTAACGCCTTCTTTGAAGATGCACGTGACCGTGAACTTCTAGAGTCTCGCAAGTCCTTTGCGAACGATACTACTATTCGAGGTGCTCTAGCTCATATGACACATATGAACACTCGGATGGGAGGTCGTACCTATACTGGCGAATATTTATTAATTTGTCAGATGATGGAGACTCTGAGGGCTAACCTTTTTAAGAAGGTCAATGATGATATTATCGCCTATGGTGATTTGCGATCTATGCCTTGGTCTGTCTTTGAGAAGATAGTTCAAAAGCATACCAACTCATCTACTAGAGTACTTAGTACCTCGAGCTTTACCCAGCCCGCTAAGCGTACCGCGATAGAGAATAACACTGTGCGTAATACTAAAATCCCTCGCACTACTGCTGGAGGTGGTAAAGGCTCTACTTCTACTGAACCAAAGGGTGAAAGGAAGGAGAGAGCACCTTGCAAGAAGTGTGGTTACAACTTCACTAAACGTGATGGCAAGTGGAATGGTAAACACGACTCTGTTAAGTGTGCACCAGGCAAGCCAAACTTTGGACATTATATGAAAGAGTGTACTACTTGCAAGGGTACTAACGGTTGGCACAAAGATAATTGCAAGGACATACCGGACGTCCAAGTTAAGCACTGACAGTTCCATATGTGTGCACTAGAGCAAGAGTATGAGAAAAAGTTCAATAAAATCTATACCAAAGGAGATGAACGTATATTTCAAAACGTTTATGTAAATGGAGAAAAAGTTATAGCACTTTTTGATCCAGGGGCTGAAGTCTCTCCTATCTCACGCCGAGTAGCCTACGCTACAGATATGGCTATCCATAATGAAACAACTAATTTAATCTTGGGAAATGGCAAGTTACCACTTGCGACGTAGCCATTGACTGTGTACACATAATGTTGT